TGGAATAAGTAGAAAAATAACATGTATTTTGCATATCGTTTTGAAAGGGTACATGATCATGTACACTGGTATTATCATTCATTCCCAAGGTCCCAGTGTTCATTGTCAGATATGACTTTATCAAAGGATTATGGTTACTTAGTTTATAAATAAAAATGTAGAACATTGAAAGGGACTAAACAAATTAAACAATAAAATATTTTAATAACATTGGAAATTCATTGTCCATAAAATTGTTAGGCAAGTGCCTATGGACATTTAGTAAATATTTTATATTACAGAAATTCAATATTATTTTACATTGTGATAATAATACATTAGGTTTATCTGTACCCTGAATTTCATTATAAGAATGGCTTTACATACAAAATACATGCAAAAACATGAAACTATTTAACAGATATTTAAAACTGCCATTCGTATATTGAAACTCACGATAATTATCTACAATACAGAATAATAAACTGTAACGCAGTTGCGAAAATATGATCAATTAAAATATGCCTAATTTATGTAGGTGTGAATGTCCAAATAAACTAAATTAACGCAAATAAAATGAAATATTGATGGTGAGGGTTGTGATGTTAGTATTTCGCGTAACATTCACACTTTAATCTTGAGTCCTTGTATTCCATTGTCTTCAATCTTCCAACAGCTTCTTCTTAGTATCCGTTTGACCTATTTACACTTCAAGACTAAATATTATAAAGATCTCGTTTATTTGCTCATACTTCGTGTTCATTCATTTCAATTATCGTTTCATGCGATTGTAGATATTTCCATTTAATAGTTTAATATGAAATTAACATATGAAATTTCTTTTTTATTTACAATCATATACCTACTATATATTTCTGTCTTTTTTTTTTTGTTTTTCGTATAGTTCTTCATTTCAAAAATCAATTTCTGTAGATGTATGTCACTGATACAATCGTAGACATTGATAATTGCAATATATGCATATACGTTCATTGTTGTAAATGCATATATAATTGCATAATATAAAATCATACATATGTGCATTTTCATTTACGCGAATGTGTCACACTGTATACATGTTTATGTTGACATGTACATATATTAGTAAATATGTATATATTTATCTACTAATTGATCATATTATTATTAAACATAAAAAATATCTCATGTGATTAATTTCAAAGGCAATCAATTAAATTAAATCACAAACACATTGCAAGAGAGAAATACGTATTTTTACATAAATGTTGGTATCTTCCAAATAATAATATTTGATATCATTTTAAAAGAAAAATTCTAATATATAATATGATATTATTTCTTCCAATTATTAAAAAATAATTAAATATTGTGATATTGTTGTGAAAAAACCTATCATCATAATTTTTGTATTTTTTTAAATACATGCATTTGAAATATTTTCAAATATTTGGAAAGTGAAGTAGAACATAAATTTTTGTAGTAAACCCATGAAAAGAGAAGGTTGTTGTACATTTTCGTGTCTATGTTCCATTGTTCTGCACTATAGCCATCGTCGTGTTTGAACGACTGTGAATCAAACTAAAATTAACTTATTTTATCCATTATTGAAAGTCGCATGCAAATGGACGATGAAAATAAGATACTACACAGTTATGTTTTCATTCTTTAAATAAGATCTCTAACAACGCATTTTGCTAAGAAAATAAATGCCAAGCACAACTGCAGTACACAGCCATCTACGTGTGTAAGCAATTAGTATCTGGTCAGTACTGGATATCGTGTCCCAGTTTGTGCGAATATGTCTCTCTACAGCTACTCACCCCCCAACGTCAGATAGATCTTCCATAGCCTTATGGGGACCTCCTTTATTTGGAAGAGGAAGAAGAGGCATCTTTCCTGCAGAGCTTTCTTGTTGTTCTCGTTGTTGACGTCTTCGTTTTTTACTCCAGAGCTCATGACAGTCTTGCCAAGTAGGAAGTTGAGGTGCTGGCATCCTAATTTTTATATAAAAAATATCTTATGAGTAAGCAATAACAATTAAAATCTTAATACAAAAAAAATCACAAAAAATTTTTTCTCTTTATACTCTTATGTAAATATTGTTTGTTATTTTAAATTGCATAATTAATTTAAATATATTTTTTATATATGCATATTCAAATATAAGAGGAAAACATACTGCTCTGGTTGAACATTTTTCAGCCATGCACTTTTAAGTGCATCAGCAGCCGTTATTCGTTTTTCTGGATCTAATTCCAGCATTTTGTCTAAAAGATCCAGAGCTGGAGTTGGCATGAATGAAAAATCTTCTCGTAAACGTCTTCTATGTGATTTTTTTGGTTTCAATGTATGCCATAATGGCAATTTTATCACAGATGGCCAAACGGCAGGAGTTGGTGTACCACAAACTCTGGAAATCATCTCCAACTGCATCATTTCTACATTTGCCTAATAAAGAATAAAAATAATCATCTTCTTCTAATTCTTTTCTCTAATGAACATATAATTTACCATCATTTTCTTACTTGAAATAGCGGTTTTTTAGAAAATAATTCTCCTAAAATACAGCCACAACTCCACACATCTATGGCAGGACCATAACGTTCTTCGCCCAATAATAATTCAGGTGGCCTATACCACAAAGTTATTACTTTGTTTGTATAGGGACGCTGTCTATCTTCAGCATTATAAAGTCTTGCAAGGCCAAAGTCAGCTAACTTGACTTCCCCTCTATAAAAATTATATAATTAAACTACAGAAATACAAAATTTATTGTATAATAAATTTTATGTACTTGTTGTTCATCAATATGTTAGAACACTTGATGTCTCTATGTAAAAAGTTTTTACTGTGGCAGTAATTTAATCCATCTAGTAGTTGTTTCATAATGCTTGCATTATTCATTTCATTGAAATCCACCATTCCAGATTCCAAAAGACCCATTAAATCATGATCCATATATTCAAATACAAGATAGAATGAACCCTTGTCCTGTAACATTATAATGTGCAATATTATTCTTACTACATTATGTGTGCTTTAATTATATACTTTAATAAATACTTTAATAAAGTACCTTTCTAAAATCCAACGCATCTTGTTTGTCCGTGACTATTTCCCTTAAGTTCACGATATTTTTATGATTAAGTTGTCGTAAGATTTTTATTTCTCGTACTGCAGTAATAGGAAATCCCTCCTTCTCATTTTCTAGACGAACTTTCTTTAATGCGACAAGCACACCAGCTCGTTTGTCTTGAGCTTTATAAACTTGTCCATAAGTACCCTCTCCTATTTGAGCTATGACTTCAAATACGTCGACAGAGCGTTCTCCCCAATCTTTACCGCTTGAAGCCGACATAGGAGTATGACAATTTCTGGAACCTCTACGCTTTAAAATTTTTGGTCTCTTCAATTTCGGTTTTGGCGGAATTCGTTCGATTTTCGTACGAGGAGGCGTTGCATTTGGATCATCTTCTCCACTTAAATCTTCTGAACCAGGAACAACTAAATATCAAATAATAATATAAGTAATGAAATAAATTATAAAGATAATATTTCAATGATATTAAAATTATACATGTTCTTATACCACAAACTTGCCTGGTGGCATAGGTAAATCTTTAATACTCTTCTTCTGCGGTGGTTTTGGAGTTGAAGATGAGAATTTCATTTGTGCCTTACTAGGCGGACTTGGAGATCGACTCGGTGGTGAGTCTATACTCTCCAAATCATTTTGATTAATTCCAGGTGGTAATGGTAATCGTGATAAACTTTTAGTCTTGAACGCCACAATAGGAGGCTTGGGAGGATCTACTGATTTAAGAGGAACTAGATTGTTAGGAGGATTAAATTTAGACATAGCCGTGTTTGGTGCTGGAACTGGTATAGGTATAGGTGGCGGTGGAACAGATAAATTAGGGAGAACAGGTACTGGTACAGGAATAGGCACTGGCATAGATACTAAACCTGCTGCATTTGCAGACTCAGATTGTGGCAATGGTGGCGCTTGTAGATTTGTAACAGCAGGAAAACTGGGACTATTTGTAACAGTCACTGGACAAACGCTAGTGGTTGTAGGCGAAGTATATACAATCATATGCTGATTAGTTCCAGGTATTACATTTGGTGCATTAACAGTTTGTGTGATTGGCAATGGTGGCGTTTTTCCCGCTATTCCGTTATCATCCGATATTGGAACAGGAATATCCACAAGATCAACAGGCTTCATACTTTCATTTGTCGTCTTCAATTGATCTTTATGATTCACATATTTATCTTTATTGTCAGTGGATGCTTTGTTCTCGGAAGATGTATTACTAGCATCTTTCTCATCTGTGCCTTCTATAATTTGAACTTCATCTTGAATGACAGCCTTTTCCTTAGCAGCTTGTAACTTTTTGTATGCTAATTCTCTCATGTTTCTATCTTTTACAAGTTCAGCAAATAAACTAGTTTCGCTAATTTTTGCTTGCACTCGAAGATTTCTTGCTGTGATGCTTGAGGGACTTCTCGCTCTAGGTCTATGAGGTGAAGGGGAAGGTATCCTCGAGGGACGTGGACTTTTTGATTTGTGTTTTCTTGCTGATTTATGTGATTTGCTAGGAGAACGAGATTTTTTTGGAGTACGACTTCTTCTGCGCGAACGAGATCTAGATCGTGATTGTAACTTGCGCCATCGTCCAGGACTCCGTGATCGTGAACGAGAAAGAGGTAAATGCAACCTAGAAAACAACATGAAATAAATAATTATTTTATTGTATGTATATTATATATATGTAATTATTTATTGTATGTATATTATATATATGTATACCTGCTTCCAGTAGGACTTCTAGTTGACCTCGATTTCCTTTTATCTCTTCTGTCTTTTTCATGATGTCTATGTCGTCGTTCAGATTCATCACGTCGTCTACGTTTCGAAGATGGAGAGCTAACAGGATCTCTACGCCGGTGAGTTACGGGACTCGGACTGAACTCTCTCCGTCTTGTGGAAGGACTAGGGCTATGCCTAAGTCTATGCACCATTGGACTTGGACTAAAATCTCTTCTTCTCGTTGGGCTATGGTCCCTTCGTCTTGACGGTGGACTTGGACTATGAGGTCTCCTGCGACTGGAGCTAATAGTGGGTCCAGGACTAATGCTACTACGTCGTGTATGAATACTAGGACTATGCTTTTGTCTTTCAGGAGTATGTTTCATTGTAGAACTTGCTTTGTTATTTTCCGGAGTTGTCGTTCTTGGAGGTATTAAAGGAGTATGGGGAGATTCTGTTGGTCTTGGAGGAAGCGGTGGAGGTGTTACATTTCGTGGTTGTCTTGTTATTTCAAGTTCTACATCACTTAAACACCTTTGTTCTTGAGGTGTAGCAGGTGATATTGGCGAGGTACTGTCTTTTAATGGTAAAGGTGGCGATTCTGACCAATTACCAACTGGTTTTTCATGTTCTGGACTTATAATAATTTCATCTGTAATACGATGCGGACTCAGACTATGAGAATGTTTTTTGGATTTTCGTTTTTTCTTTTTCCCAGAACTAGACGAAGGACTAAGACTTTTCTTTTTCTTCTTTTCTCGTTTATGTTTCTTCTCTTTTCTCCTTGCATATCGTCTAGACTCTTCTTCGTATTCAGGTGTTCCACCATGCATTGCCGAAGGTTGTTGTTCATTTGGTGAATAATGTCTATTAGTATGCCTATGTTGAACTGGTGGAGATGGTGAAAGACTAATAGGAGATGCTCCAAGAGCACGTACTGGACTCCCTCCATAATAACGTCTTTGTAAAACTGGTTCAGGTACTTCTCCATCTGTATAGCTATTACCTCTACTGTCTTCTGATTGAATTTCTCCAGCTTCTGGTTCAGATAAGTCTTCACTACTCACATCTGAGTATTCAACCAATGGTTTAACAATGGAAGAAGCTACAGTCGGCACATTCTCTATGGACTTATCTCTTGATCTCTTTTTTTTCTTTTTTCCAGAACTTTTATTTTTCCCATGCCTTCTGTGCTTCTTATCAGGTGCTTCAAAACTATGTCGATTTATATCACTGCTGGTACTACCTCTTCTACGTGATCGAAATCTTCCATTACGTTCAGCTCTTTCAATATCACGACTGCTAGGCATGTCACCTACTAAAATACAAGAGTATTAATGTACAAAAGTAATCAATATTTCATTTACCTTATCAATACATTGAATGTTATGAGGATATTGATAAATAGTAATGTTAAAATTAACAGAAATATTTAAATTAACAAAGTAATTAACTAAAGCACTTAAACGATTTCATCCTTTTAATAAGGTATACATCATAAACAATAATGTATACATACAACAATATATTATGTTAAAATAAACAACACTTTGATATTATAGATAAGATATATAAAATTTATCCATTAATCAATAATGTTGCTTTATGGCACAATAAAGATTCACAAAATAATACTTGCACAAATCAATGTAATGCTTATACAATGCACAATTTTAAATATGCACTTTATATATATATTAAATCTCGCTTACAAAAATATTGCAAATGTATTGGAATTCAATTTCCGTCAAATATAAAGTTTAATTCTAATACAAACATATAAAAAATCAAGTATTTTCAATATTTATTTTAGCTTTAATTGATACAACACAAAAAATTTGAAAATTATATTATGTTTTTGCTCTCCTTAATGCTTTCAACAGAACATCATGGATATTATACACACACAATGATATATAATACATACGTAGGAAGACACAAGTACATACATATGCATAAATTAGTCGACGTAACAGTATTTCCGAACAACACAATTCTTCGGCTAGTATAATGGAAAACAGTAATTATTTACAATAGCCTCTTTTTAAGATAAAAACAACGATCTACTCAGTATAAACTTATGACTTGTTGGTTTAAAGAATATTTTGCAAAAAAGAATTTTTCGGCCGAGCTAACATAGCCGCCATTGTTAACGACTGGGTGGCAAGGGAGTTGCCCAGTTTTCTCGAAAGAAAGTTAGTTAATGTTCCTAAACGGAATTATAAACTGATGGCTCGTTCAAGTACTTACGTGCAATATAAATCTTGTGATATCACGCTGAATGTTGAATTTCTTTGCATCGAGCTGGTCCAACGTAGCGATGAATGTAATGGTTACGTTCGTTGCTCAATAAACAGTTTTAACACATATTTCATAGGCCACGAGTAAAATTTGATAAAAATTAATAGCTATCGTAACAATTAAATGTTCAGGCAATCATATTTTTATAGTTTTACTAGCCGATGCATCATATCTCATGAATTTTCTTTGGATCGTATTTGGCTTTCTCATAAAGATAGCTCAAGTAAGTAGAAGCCATTAACCATTAGCACGTCATTATTGTCTGACGTACAAGCGATAAGTGCTGCACTCTTGCGGCTAAACACGAAGTATACAAAATTGCGGAATAATCTTAAATATTATTATACTCATTCTAATTGGTTGAGCTGAATTTCTTCATTATGTTTATATATAAATATAAATACAATTATTATTGAATTTTTTACATTGGCAGATATAAAATTTACGAAATTTACAAATATAAATGTCACATATAGCAATATATTTTCATACACTTATATTTTACATATTGTGAAATTACATTTTAAATTTATAATTTATATATTTTAATACAAGAATATATTTTATTTATATCAAGTCAGTATCGATTTTTATATAGCCTTTTTTTCAGAATAATACACGACGAATACACTCTTATATTTATGATCATTAAGAAACTTATTTTAAATACGTCTTAAAATATTTTTTTTATATTATCTTGTTTATCTAAATTCATTATTTTGTTGTTTTATATGAATTTTTATGAAATACATGAAAAGTCTGCGTTATGTTTTTTCGACAAGCACGCTTCCTATCTTGAGGTGCAGTATAAATTTTTGATCTATGGTTAATGGCGATTCAATATTAGTAGTGTTAGATATTAAATTTAGTAAATAGAAGTGAATCTAATTTAATTTTCATCTTTATCGTTAAAAAGTTAGAATATGGGGGAAAGATATAACATTCACAGTCAGTTGGAACATTTGCAATCAAAGTACATTGGGACAGGGCATGCCGACACAACCAAATTTGAGTGGCTTGTGAATCAGCATCGTGATTCGTGCAGTTCTTATATGGGACATTATGATCTATTAAATTTCTTCGCTATTGCCGAAAACGAAGCGAAAGCCCGCGTTCGATTCAACCTTATGGAGAAAATGTTACAGCCCTGCGGCCCGCCTCCAGAAAAGCCAGAAGATTAAGTTCCATGGAATACATACTACGTACACATTGTTTAAACAGTACACGTGATTAAAACTTCTTTTACTGTTTTTGTATAAACTGACGAAGTTCCATTCATTTTCACATCATAAAAATTGATTTCAATCGAGTTATATTCTAAAGTTATTTTTGTGTGTAAATAAAAAAAATATAATTGTGAATTCAACAAAATTTTATGCAATTTTAACATAACCTCTACAAATAAAACGGGGTACGTGATTTTTGAATTCATTGAATAAAAGAAGGGAAACAGAGACATAAATTACAAGTTAAATTATCATAGTGACAGTTCTATTATAATATTCGTAGTATAAAAAAAACAATCAAAAATTCTACAAAATGCCTATTCCATGTTCGAGGCAGTGTGGGAAGAAAGCTATCCTTAAAGTAAGTCAAATGATTACTGTTCTAAATTGTTACTCGAGATTTATAAATATAAAACATGAATGAAAAATGACATCTTTAATTACAGAGACCTAAAACTGGACATGCCTTATGTAAAGAATGTTTTTTTTATGCATTTGAAAGTGAGATTCACAATACAATTACGCAGGGTAAATTATTTAAACCTGGCGATAAAGTTGCTATTGGAGCGTCAGGAGGAAAAGATTCTACAGTACTTGCGTATGTTTTAAAAACCTTGAATGAGAGACATCAATATGGAATTGACCTTTTTCTTTTATCTATTGATGAGGGAATTACTGGTATTATAATAAAATATTATCCTATAATATTTAAACATTCTAGAATCTCTTTCAAATTTTTTTATTACAAGATTGTATTATTTTAGGATACAGAGATGATAGTTTGAAAACTGTTCAGCAGAATAAAGATGATTATGGACTCCCATTAAAAATATTATCTTATAAAGAATTATATGGATGGACAATGGATGAAATTGTGGCTGAAGTATATATAGCAATTTCAGGTAAAAATCATTTAAATTTGTTACTTAATTTTTATTCTATTTTAGATTGGCAAAAAAAATAACTGTACATTTTGTGGTGTATTTCGAAGACAAGCTTTAGATAGAGGTGCAGCTTTCTTAGGGGTGGATTGCATTGCAACAGGTCATAATGCTGATGATATTGCAGAGACAGTTCTAATGAATATCTTGAGAGGTGATATAGCAAGATTACAGAGATGTACTTCAATTATTACTGTAAGTTATGTATTATATATATTTATAATTATATAATTATATATCGTTCTTACAAGAAAAAGAAGAAAGAAAAGAAAAATTCCAAGGTATATTACGTGATAGAAATTAATATTTTATTTATAATGTAGGCAGGAGCAGATTGCATAAGACGATGCAAACCTCTTAAATATGCATATGAGAAAGAAATAGTAATGTATGCATATTTTAAACAGTTGGTATACTTTTCAACAGAGTGTGTATTTGCACCAAATGCATACAGAGGACATGCAAGAACATATCTTAAAGATTTAGAGAGAATTAGGCCTTCTTCTATATTAGATATCATTCATTCTGGTAAATAAAATTGTAATTACTGTGCTAAAATTATTTTTTGATATTTATATAATATGTATATGATTAATATATTTTCGTTCGTAGGAGAAACATTACAAGTAAAAGAAGGTATCAAACTGCCAGAACGAAGGAATTGTTCTCGTTGCGGATTTGTATCTAGCCAAGAAATTTGCAAAGCGTGTATTATGTTAGAAGGTTTGAATAGAGGACTTCCCAAACTTGGTATTGGAAAATCTACTAAAGTTAAACGAGCACTGGAGTCTATTGCAAAAGACAAATGCAATGACAAATGTAATGGCAAATGTAAAGACAATGAACAAATTGATGAAAAAGATTTAGAATTTTGACGATTTCTTATGTTTTAAAATATATTTGTAAACTTTCAGGATATGTTATTAAAATACACAATTTGCAAATAATTTCACTTGCATTTGTATTATTTTGAACCTCCAATAATTGTTTTATTGTTTAAAGTACATTTTAGTCTTTCATTAGTATTTTTAGTCATTTTGTATTACTTACTTTTTTACTCCTAGAAATATTAATTTTCATCAAGTAAAAAAAGTATTTACTAATTTAAGAAATTTATATTTGTACTAATGTTAAATAATATATGCTGCTGCTTTTTGTGAAATTGGCGCTCTACAAACTGGACAATCGCTAGTGATGTCATCAGAGCAGTCTTCACATAAACAGACATGCCCACATGGAAGAAGAATAATCTCACGAGGATTTGTACGACAAACAACGCATAACTGATCTTCTCTAAGATCAGTGTCTCTTACTCTTTGCCGTCTTTCTTTCCGAGATGCAGCTAGAGTTTGTCTTAAATCTTCTGCTAATCTTTGTTCTGTTCTGTCTTTCCAATAACGTCGAAAAACTATTCCACCAATCAACATTCCAATAGCACCAAACATTAAACATAATAATCTAAAATATAAATAGTTGATCAAGAACGATATTTATGAATTACATAAACTATACAACTCACCTATATGTTCGTTTGCGCTCATCCAATTTCCTAAGCAAAGAACTAATTGACATGCTTGTTAAATAAAATGGTGTACCATTTAATGGTGGTTGTAATGTAAGTGTTTTAGATTTCGTTCTTGCTAATTCACCTATACCTGTCATAACTGATCCTTCACGAAGCAGTTCTTCAGTTGATTGTAAACCACGCTGGCGTATACCTAAAATTAAAAATGAAGTAGCTTTTATGAATTTTGTTAAATGGTACATTGCTGTAAAATTTCAAGTAGTTGTTTCTTACCTGTGAAAAAACCCCATAAATGGTCTGCAAAGGATGGTACTGTTGGCTCAAAGGTATTAGATACCACATCCAAGTCTAAAATATCTGCTGACAATGGTTCCAATACTTCTACAGAATAACTTCCATGTTGTAAAGAGAATGGAACAGTATTATAAACTTTATGAACAGTACGCTCTTGATCTGACCTGTAGAAATAAAAGTAGTTTTAAACACATGTTTCTTATGATCTCATAATGATTGTGTTTTTTATAACATATTTGAAACAAAAGTATCACCAGAAACCAGCAGTAGTTCTAGCTACAACATGTTCTTTGATTTTGAGCTTTTGTACAACACCAGTTAATTTTTTATTATTAATGCTGTTCAATGGCTTTCCTAAGGGTTTTACAATACCCCTAATAGCTATGTAGTCTATCTTGTTATTGGAACTTTTATCGATAAGCTCTCCCAATTGTGGCCCAACTTCGTGAAACTCGGCACCCTGTAGAGAAACTAAACATTTTGAAGTACTTCTGAACATTAAACACGTTAATATAATTTACTTTGAGATAACATTCAAATCACTGCACAAACATTTAATGTTTAATATTTTATCCATAACAAGATTGAGAATCAAATAATAAAATAATGACAATTATATAAATAAATAATAATAATAATAATATAATTTACCTTAACTGCTGTAATTGCATTTTTACAGTGAAAGTATTGTTTCATACAAATACCAAAAATTATACTGTCAATTCCGAGAGCTATTACTTCACCTAAATAATCCATGACTAGGTTATATTTTTAAACCTCAAAGTTAAAATATTGTCCATGTTTAATAATTTTATTAATTCCTTTCTAGTCTAGCGTAGTTTCATAATAGCAATAGAATATTTGAGAACTTAAAATATATGATTTTTTATTGAAAATTTAAAACACATGCGATTGTTACCTGATGTAAGATATAAAAGGCAATTGCATATATTATGTTGTCAACACTGTCAAACATGTGACACAATAAATTTGCATGTTTATGTTGATAAACCTGTTGGAGTGCGCGGTTAAAACCGTTTCTTATTGTTAGTATCTGTTTATTGAGATACCGTATTTACAATTTCTATTTGTACCTTTTAATGTAAGTGACTTGTGTTACTTCAAAATTTATTTTAATCAAGAAATGCGCAACGAATCAAGTAAGATTTGCTTGTTTAACGAAGTAAATTTTCAAATGTCATCATTCTTGTTCCCATGAGTTTCCACGTTTCGTTCTAAATTTCACTGTCACTTTTACGATTTTCATAATTCATTTTCTAATTTAAAACGCAATGTAATGTAGAAAAGGGAACGAGATTGGGAACATAACCTTCGAAAAATGTTATCATCGCCGCCTATATATTGCATTATGAAATCATCTCTGCAATAGTACACTGTTTTTCGATTGTCATAACACACTGGAGTCGTTTGGAATTAAGGAAATACTCGATAATATTGATTTATGAAAAAGTTCGAGATACCACTTTACCAAGTTTGTAAATTAGCGAACTTTCGTGTAATTATAGAAAATTTGAAAATGCAAAACTACAAAAGATAAACGTAGGACAAGGATAAAACAATTTGATACTTAAGCATGTACCGTGTGAATCACCCCTAAGATCGGTGCCGGAACTAATTTATATTGTTGTCCCTATCGTCTGCCCTCTTTGTCTACCGCGCGAATATTTATTACCCTAGCTTTCTTTTCATACCCCATATAATAATATATATAATATATAATTAGACCCTAGCTTTCTTTTCATACCCCATTTGTTCCGTAAAATGCAGAAATGTGTTTTTATAATTAGTACCACCCAGTTACCGCTAGATGGCGCCACCATGTCCATTTTGTGGCAGTTCGCACTAATGAGAAAAACCTAATTAAGAGGAATAATTTGCGAACTTTTTTAGATGCTCCCTTAAAATTAGGCTCCCCGCTTTCTTTCTATGTGTGTTTTGTTCTAGAGGAACGTGTGTGTAGAAAGTTGTATTTTTTTTTCAATAGATCGAAGGATATCCTTGTGGCACACTATTGCTTTCCTTGTCTAGCGTCATTAGACAAGGAGGGCACTAGCGTGCGACAAGGACAGACATATAGACGCGATAGATAAGGAGCGTGATAGTGTGCGACAAGGACAGACATATTCGCGCGATAGACAAGGAGAGTAACAACGTGCGACAAGGACAGACGTATTCGCGCTGTAGACAAGGAGAATGATAGTGTGCGACATGGACAACAATTTAAATTAGTTCCACCGTTTCACTGCTTCGCGACGCTATTATTTTAATGCCTCTAGCGGCTAGCACATCCAGTCTTCCCTTAATATAGCAGTTCCAAAGACACGAATATTTCAAATCATAAGTGGATGCTGCTTAGTTACGGATCAAGTGCGAGCTTTAGTTTAAGCGTGCAGAGTGCGGAATGTCTCTAGGATGGGTGCCGTTTCTTGGCACCGAGCGTCTGAGATTAGGGGTCGCCGGCATCAGCCCTAGTGATGAATCTGGCGATGACTCTCAGACGAAATACACTCTACCTTCTATATTTTTTATAACCTTACATTATACATAAAATCATCCGCTACAAAAATTTCATCTTGAGTACTATCTTGATGAATTACAAATTGTATATTTTCAGTTATACATAGCTGTATCTATATACAAGAATGAAAAGTTTCATTCAAGAACAAAAGAAGCAGTTCCTTCTCTAAGCGACCCACTAGATTTTGTTTTGCGTGATACTCTCAATCAGTAGGTATTCTTAAATTTAAAAATGAATTGGAAATAACCAACCAGACCCACATTCTTTTCGGAAAGCTTCTCATCTCTGCACGACACGTGTTGATGCAAGTATAAGTCATCGTTTCGAATCTTGAGATTATTGAGTTATTGCAGTTGAATTTGGTAAGAATATATTTTAATTTTATACAAAATATAAAAATAATAATATATCAAATTTTACAATTTGTTTTGCTTTGGGGATTACGAGAGAAATGATTGTAGTTATAGAAGATGAGAAACTAATGTTTTTTTATAGAAAGAATCATTTATGGTGATTCACTTGATTACTATTTTATGTCTAACCGAGTTCAAATATATTTCATTCCGTTTGTGGTATTAAAGTCTTACCTTTCAATTGTACACGTAACAACGTGAAGTTGCATAAACATGTGCGACCTAATCGCAATCGATCGAAAGAGGAAAGAACGAGACACGTTAAGTATAGCACAAATTCGAGAAAAGAAATTTTTATTGATAACATATAGTGATGTTCGAATAGGTATAAACAGTATGTATAAAAGTATAAAAAATAAATAATGACGGCGCCGCGACTTTGTAAGACTTAATGAGAGCAAATTCATCGTAATGTGTTCCAATCGCGACCGGGAATACGATTACGATTCCAACGATAATAACACTGCTAGTGATTATAATGGTAATAATAGTAATTGACATTGTACGATAAATTTCTCTAACATCCTTCCACACATTCATATATAAAATTCTTTTCGTCTCCTGCTTTTTATTCGAACCTTTTAATCAAACCGGTTAAAGCTAAACGGCGGAGATCAACGCGACAACGTTATTATAAATAAAACTAGATTCTGCAATACGTAGCTTGCTCACATGTAATAGTCTAATTTTCGAGTATTTTCCACACTTTCCGCATTTATAATTTGTAAATGTGAATCGCAGAATGTATCTAATATTTCTTTTCCTAACGAAACGTTTGATATTTCAAGTATTAAATTCTGTTTCTTTAACAGAAATGACAGCTCTGAAAACGAGAAGACTGAAAATGTTTACGAAATCATTTACGAAAATATTCGAACACTTGCAAAGATCCTTTGATGAATATATCGTGTATTATTTTAATCTTTTATTAAGAATCGTCAGTATTCAAGTTTATCATTCACAAAATTCTACATTTAATGCGGTATATTAATCTTTATGCATTATTTAAGTATCTAGTAACTTTCGTGAATATTTTCAGATAGATCTCAAATTTCACGAATGTAATCGTTTACACTCTGCTGATGAAATTTTAAAACTTTAATTTGTTTAAAATTTTAATTCACGTAGCAAGTTTTTTTTTTTTTTTAAGTTCGAAGTTTTCTCTGCAAGGTGTTTAAATATTTTCATGAGCCACTGTACACTATATATTTCCTCGTCGATGTGTAAATTCGTATTAAATCGCATTCACATTAAGAAAGATGAACAAAACAAAATGCAACGAATTATTTAAAAAAAAAAAATCCTGTCGTGGGTATAATTGTACATAAGTCACTGTCATTTGTATCGAATACGCGGTATCTCTCCTTTCGTGATTCAAATAACAAGCGGGGCGTGCTGTTAATGAAAGAATGCGAATATTTACAAATATTCAGATATTTTCGATTTATGGAGTTTGTGGCTGATCAGTGTGATTCTTTTGTATGGTTCGTTTACCGGAAGCATGCATTTAATAATAAGATTCGTATACTGCGTGAGTAGTACCGCTTACTAATTTATCAACAAAATGCACGATTGTTTAAATATTTTCGGAATCTGTGTTAAACATAGCTTCACAGTTCTTTCAAATTTTGCCAACATAATCATGATAATTGGCCTCTATCACGGTGCTAGTGAAATCTCAAAATACGTAGCTCGCAGAAGACACACGAGTCTCAAAGATTTTTTGTGAGTGTTCGAGCAGTTTCGTGAGATGACATAAGAATCTCTCCTCGTACTTTCCTCGAGGCATGATCGTACGAATGCTTCGCAAACTACTATCGTGACCCCCTTCGCTTAAATTCTTTTTATGGCAGTCAATTCGTAATTTATGTATAATCGTCTGCAATTGTCGGACTTGGAACGATCGCGATTGAGGTCAATCGCGTGTAGTAATATTAGATATTATTCGAACTTCTCGCACACGTGTCTCGTTGATAAATCATTTCAAGTTGTAAAGTGAGTCACATACACACACACACACGCGCGCGCGCGCGCCCTCTTATGCAACGTTCCCATGCAAATACACATAACCCGGGAAAAAAGAGTGTTAAGGAAAAACAAAAAGTAGCAAGGAATTGCGGCTGTAATTGGCTCTGTTCAACTCAGGGCAATTAGCAGAACGGTCGCAACTGAGCTATTGTATCTTCTTTTCTTTTCTTCTTTAAAAGACACCCCTATTTATCTTTAATTATTTTACCTTCACCTTAATTTTTAATTTGGTTAAAATCTGTCTGCGAAACTAAAGGAAACTAGACTTTTAGCATTTTCTCTGTGTCCTCTTTTTTTTTTTTTTTGTCATCCAATTTAAATCAGAAGTAACGTCGAGCAATGCTATAAAATTGAATTAGATTATAAACATTATTGTTCAAAATTTACTATATAATTTGTTATAAATTTACTATGTAATTTTCTCTGTTAAATAAAATTCAGAACGTTATGGGAGTCGATCGGTTTAGCTTCTGGGAGGCACACGTGTATAATTTTAATCAAAAAGTTAAAAAAGAAGACATTCCTTGAAAGATGAAAAAATACTAGATAGTATGTTGTAACGTAGCTAATGATTTTGTAATCAAAATTAGAGAAAGTCATTGATCGAAAATGATCCAAAGAATATAGCAGGATAAAGAAAATCAGTTATTATTAGAGTTTCTGAGAATAATCAAAAGATCAATGTGTGATTCAATAATTAGAATCAGAAATAAACAAAAAATGTAGCGAACATTTTCGTTTAATTTTTCAATCGTACAGTTTCTGAACTTCTCTATACGATCCCTCTCTACTTTTTAACCTCGCTGCGCTCATACAGTTCATAAATACATATATCCCAGTTTTATTATTTTCCCGACAGATGAAAACAAATAATCTTCAACCTGTTAACTTTATCGTCCTTTAATTAAAAACTTCTATTTATGAAATTAAAAGTTAATACGTTTGCTCTCTGCTGATACGCAAGTCGTATTAAAATACTGCGTGTAGATAATTTATTCGTAACAAAAATAACGTTACACACGTAAAAGAATTTAAATCATTTAAATGGCTCGTTTCTTCTGGTTAACAGGTTAATATTTTAGGAGAAGTTCTATTATAAAATTGCAAAGAGAAATTGTATCAGCAATGATATCGTGTTTTTGTCATAATTTTAAGAAATTTCCTACGTTTAAAAAATTTGAGAAACAAGCACGATTGGGTCGAAAATGAAGTTAGAAACTACATGGTAGAAGAGTGTCCTCGAAGGTGTACGAAAATATGGCAGTTTTTGTTTCTTTTTTTTTCTTCTTCTCCTTCTCTTAGCTGGTCACGAGCAAAGTCAGGAGCAAAAATCAGCATGTAGAGACCGTTAGAAAATTGGAAGGATTAGAATGACTCTCGAACTTCGATCATTCACCTGACTAGGCAGTGTTCGGATAAACATTTTGTTTAAAAGTGTCGAAACACACGCGCGATTTGTTCGAATTCTTTGTTCGTCCATCGTCGAACGAAGTCGAGCTTAAATATACACGCGTTATATTCGCATTTCGTTAATCTACCACTTCGTATTTTGTTAAAAAAAAAAAAAAAAATAGTAAAGTTTCTTCGTCAATATCCGCGCAACGGGTTCATTTCAAAAGCACACGCGATAAAAAAATTTATCTCTAGTTCTTTTTAAATTTCAGTTCGCTTCGCGAACATCATCACAGAGAACATTGCTTCGCAGTTGGACCTATGTCGGAGATACACCATGAGATTGCTCATTATCGTTTTTTAGCTTATTGTTAGCTTATTTCTCTTCCGCTGGTATCCTTCTTTTTTTTTTTTTAAACCTTAGAAATCGTTTGCATCGTTTGTCAACTTCCAGTTTTTTTTCGTTCGCTCACTTAGAAACACAGCGTTTCTTTTTTCAAATACATTACAATACGTACAGTCAGAGGTTTCCTACGAACCCGATTTTCATCGATCGTCGTAGAAATTCGAAGCGTCGTCTCCTGTTTACTCGTTTCCCTCGGCGCACTGGATAAAAAAATTCGAAAAAATTGTTTGCTCCACGAACGACAAACTTCATCGTTCTTTCGAATACTCGAACATCTTCGAAATTCGAACGACATATCTATCAAGCTTGTTTCTTCTATCGTAAATAAAAATCTTCTTCGCTCTTTCGAGTATTCCCTCCTAAGAAAATCTTCACGTTTAAGAAACTTCTTCGCCGTAGATAACCTTTGCTCATCTTCCTATCCATTCCACGGCGCACAAGAAATCCAAACAGTACGTCTAATCAATCTCATTCCTCTTCTCGTACCATTGTAATTTGTTTCTTCAGCAAGAGCATCTTCTTCCGAGTATTCGCTCGATACTCGAAATACACCCCGCAGCGAATTGAACCAACGTATTCATCGAGCTCGTCCTGCGTCCCTCCTCGATCCACGATTCATTTCTAACGAACCTTCGGCCGTGGATCGGCAGACGATTGTCAAAGTGACACCCTCCTCCCAGGTTAGAGGGGATGCCAACGAGGAAGCTTCAACAAGTCTATGTATATTTTCTTCGTGCAGTACAGTCCACATCGTGCTGGACAACTTTAACGAACAATTGTCGAGGTTTTTTTTTCCCATCTTGATTTCGAAATCCCGAGATCCCTCCCTGTCGAGGATCTCTCTCGGAGGTAGTCTTAGGCTGGAACCTGGACTACAGGTCTGTGAATCGGCACGGATATCACGTAAATGTCTAATTTCTCTCCGGACGTTTTGTCCACGATTTCACCGTAATTCACGGAATCGTACGACGGCGGTGCAAATAAGTGATACGGCGGGGGCGGTGTTTCTGTCACTGGCCCGTTCAACGCTTCAGTTCGTTGCGCGTAGGGGACAGTCAGTGGCCGTCCACCACGACGGCAACACCACTCTGAACAACTGACGATTAGGAAGAAAGCGACCAAACCTCCGAACGAACCAATGTACCAGACGATCGACCACGGGTCCAGGGGGTTTTGATCGTTTCCGTTCTCTGAAACAAAAAGATATCCACCTGTGAGGACGCGGGAATATCCTACGATTATCGCGATAATCCTCTGCAGTAAAAAAATTAATTTAAGCTAGAGAATTGATGACTGTGAACCTCCAGATTAATACCGTAATAGGTACTGTGATTATATACGGTACTGTTCCATCAAGCTGGAGATTACTAATTTTTGTCCAATAGTAATTTTTTTACAGTATGCCATTTATAATGCAATAAATCACACAAGCCTTTTAGTTACACATTTTCTCGAAAAATTATTTAAAAAATTTTTAAAAACACATTATTCCGTGTTTATGAAATTTCTAACAAAAATTAGAAATTGGTCGTAGTGCTAAAGGATTAGAAAATTAATAACTCTATAATACACAAGGTACTCTGTCCATCACCCGCGAATATTTTTGATAATACTTTTCACAATGGTTAAGTAACTTGCGAACCTTCCGCGAATAAAAAGACAATTTAAAACCCAGAGTAAATAAATGAAACGATGTACGAGGTAATGATTCAAAAGTAATTCACGTGAATTCAAGATACATGTAATATAGAGCCAGGAGAACCAGTTAGTTATTGGTTCGCTCTGCTGACGTCTTTCGTTACGATACCATCTGGAGAGTAGTTTCACAGCCATAAATTCCTTGATAATTCACGCCAAATCAATGCTGAAATTGATTTATCTCAATTACCAGCTGCTTGCACGTAAGGCCTTATGCAAATTGCATTCGAGGATAGACGATCGAAGTCCGGGCTAAATTTGAAAGTGTAAATAACAAGATCGATTATGTATCCCGTGTTAACCTTTTACGATCGCCGTTATTTTAATCATTAATATTCAAATGATTTTTTCCCTTAATAAAAGTCTCGTTAATTTTCTATTCGTACGTAAAAATATTCTAGAAAACTCTCTCAGTATCTCAGTAATTCATTTCCAACGTTAAGAATATCAAATCAGTCGAACCGAAATAAATCGTGATGAATTAAAATGTTGATTATTAAAAAACGAAAAAATTATATTGACCGGAAAGAAGAAAAGAAAAATGAAAGATATCTAAAGAACGTATACGAAGGTTGAATTTCGAGGAGTCAATCGTGCGACGATGGAATAAAAATCGCGAATAAATAATTTCGCGAAACGATCAGTAACGTGTCCAGAATCGACAAAACGGATCTTTGTGCGTAACGCAACGAACGCATTACAAATTCTTCGTGGCATCATTTTCGTTAGAATCGTGACTCCTTTTTTCATCGCCAGTGGATAAAATATCAGAATTGCGGCAAGTTAAAAGTGAAAAATCCTCGCGAGGGAATAATTTTCAATTGGCGAGGGTTTTCAGTTAAATTAAACGAAATATCATGTCATTGATCTTACGAGAATTCGAGTCTTTCCCTTTGTTCTGCATGGTTTCTTCCTTCTCGTTCGACTCGGACTCGAATTCGATCACGTAGACCGTTTGCTCGTTGTCGCGTTCGTCGTTTGTCGAATCGGCCGGGTGTTGGTGGTGGTTGTTGTTAACTTTATGAATCACCTCGTTGCTCTCCAATCGTGGCTGAACGTGGCCAGTGATATCGTAACTCGGCGCTCCATGAACTGCAATAAGATAACACGTACACGAATTTAACAAATGCACACATGGCGCAAACGGCGAGAGGTTAACAATGGAAAAATTAAAATTAACTGCCGGAGCTGTGGCGAACGCCTTCGTAATGTGTAACTCGAAACAATTGGGAATTGTAGTAGTGAAGTATCTAGACGAGTCTTTCCAATTTCCAATTAGGATTTTTATTGGACTATTATTGAGTTCAATTTTATTCGAAAAGTTTTATCAAGTTTTATTTAAAGAGATAAAACTGACGTTTTAGGAAATTTAGTTTACTTAAATTGTTGATTATTTGGTGAAATTATTTTGTTATTTCGTTTAAACTCAAGTTTAATTTTATTAGTTTTATTTAAAGGAATTATATATGAATGGAAATCAATTTTTGAATATTTCTGAAATACCTATAATACTATGTTTTAATGTTAATGTCAAAATAAAAATATCATTCCCAAAGTGTTACAAATTGCAAATGCGTTTTGAAATTTTTTATTCGAAATGACAAATCGTTTTTAATCTTAAATTTCTTCCATAAATAATCGAATTACGCTTTCAGAAAGCGAAAGATCGTGTAAATTTCTTATTGTGCAACTTTCTTCGTTCGTTTCTTCGGTTCAACCGCACAATATGAGACAATGTTACATACATAACACATATGCATATTATGCTACGCAAAACATACGTAAAACGTGTTATTAACATAAAATAAAATTCCGTAGCGTCATTCGTCAAGAATCGAATTATGTTATTTTGTCGGAGAAGAGAAACATTTGATAAAAAAAGGTATTGATTGACTAGTATGTCGAAAGGAAAAAGAGTGTTTCACGTGTACACGTTGCTAGTGGGGGACATTATGTCAATCAAGACATGAATGTCATCTCGACTGACAAATACGTTATCTCTATCTTGTCATCTGAAAATATTCCCTAAGATCGTAGGATCAAACGCGATTCCAAATCATGTAATTCCAATTCACGTGGCCGAAATTTTTGAACGTTCAAGACGTTCTCACAATACTCTATCATAGTTCTATGTTAATATTTGTCTTTTCTCATAGTAATAGTACGTTCCTCAAATTCTTCTAGCACTTGATCGAATGTAGTCTTAAGGCTCGATTGATTTTGATAAATTTCATCAGTTTTCTTTTTTTCTTCTTCGAGTTTTAACCGAGAAGAAACTTTTGTATTTCGTATAATTAGTGAGAATGCCACTGATCATTATATCGTGTAAATATTTGTACGTGCCCAAAAAGGAAATTAAAATTTCGCGTTCACGCTGTTTTTTCGATGCATATTTCTCGTGATAATCTTATCTGTATGTTAGATCTTAAAATTAAACGTAAAAAAAGAATTTCACATAAAATTTAACATTAAAGTAAACTAATTTTATAAAATAAAACATTTTATATTACATTAAAGTAAACTATTATATAAAATAAAACATTTCATTCGGAATATTTCGTTTTTATCATATTTCAGAATATCTCGGGTGAAGTATTTTTTTATAGCCAGACTACGATGTTTGTGCAAACTCATACTTTATATAAATACAATTGAAAGAAATGGAACGCGAGCAGAGATTTATTTCACGTAAAGTATTATAGTCTGCGTATCGCACGAGGTGTGTTCTCTGCTTTTGTGCATTTTTAAATCTTTTGCAAATGCATAAAAATTCACGATCTGCTTGTGACATTTAGAGCATGAAGTATGAAATGTTATCTCTTTAATTGTACTCGTAAAAAATATTAATTTGCATAAATGTTCGTGGTCTACTAATTATCTATCTACAGTTAGATACGTTACGGGTTAATAAACCTTCGCGTATTTTTGCACAGGCTGAAAAATGTTTCACAAGTACATGAACATTCGCAGTCTGATAAGCAGAATTAAATTGATGTGATAAAAATAAATAGATGTACGCTTGTACAAAATTATCTGGATAACAATAACAATTCATGTCAATTTTATTAAGTCCAAAATCATGAAGAACACCTGAGTTTAAAAAAAAAAAAGATTGTCGATTACTTGAAATACCCGATACGTTGCAATTATTTTTAACAAACCACTCTGGGAAGTAGAAGACAACAGCCATTAGGCGTTAATCTTTCAAAAATTCACTTTCAGTGATTTTTGAAAAAAAAAAAAAAAAAAACAATCATGTCAATATCAGTTAATATGAAAGCAAGACACACGTGAGACTGCATCCAATTACTTCTCCAATGTGAATGAAACAAAGTCACGGCATCGTTACGAAACCTAATTTCGTTCAAGAGGCTTGCGCACAATTGATCAGAAAAGCATACGATATTACGTTAAGCATACGATATTGTAATATTGCAAATTTAAATGCAAGATTCCATGTGCGTGACAATCAGTGATAAGAATGAATGAAAAGATAAGAGTTAAAATGACCAATTTATAATTTTTTCAGAATAATGTGTTTTGTGTTTTTTCGGAGATTCGAATGACTTTTGTAAAATACACGAATAAAAAGTTCGTGTCCATTATCGTATTATAAGCCTTTTCCTATCCCTTGCATTCTAATTACTATGACTCAATTTTTATACTTTAGTCCTCGGTAGTTCTAAGCGTTAATCACTTGCGCTGGCAACTGATTGCGGACCATAACGAGTGACCAAACCGTACACAATAATTCGCTTTCTTTTTGAACTCGTCGGTATGACATCACCGGATAGAAATTATTGAGAAGTGATAAATTTATTATTTGTTTTGGCTATTTTGTTTTATTTAAATATACTTAAATATACTTAGAATAATATACTTACAATTTTGAAACAAAAAATTCTCGACGTTGCGTGACACGTCATTCCAGCGCAAGAAGTTGAAAAAGCATTTGCGTCAGAATCGGTAAAAGAAATTCAAGACGTCAAAACGAAAAAACAAAAAAGAAATAGATATCTGTCAATTCAATAATAAAATATTGAAATTAGAAAATTCTTTGTTGAAATACAATAAATTCATCTCGCGGTAATATTTTCTTTTCCACTGATTGTCACGTATATATTCGATACTTAATTCTCATTGTTTTAATGATTATTTTATTCATCGTACGTAACACCTACTCGATAATTTCGTGATCAACGTGTAACCACAATTCGAGAAGAATCGGAAAGTCACGAGAGACAAAGGGAAAAGACGGCACGTTCCGCTTTGTGAGCAGAAATCAGTAATTCACGTCTATCGTGACACGATTATCTACTATTAATTGTCACGTCGTTGATAAACGACGTGCCGCTATTAGACGATTCGATTCTATGTACTCAACGTTCACCTGGCAGGAACACAGTTCGAACGATATCGATTCAGGGACCCACTTTGAGATTATACAGAGGTAGCACGAGTTCTAGGTATGACATAGCTATCTGGTATTCTCGTGACTCTTCAATACTCGACGGTACGCAATTAAAACAAACGGCAAAATCACGGTCTCGAGACAACTTTTTAATCAGCTTCTAATGGATTGCTTTACGAAACATCGTTTTACAAGATTTAGATAATTGGATCGTCTCATTTTTACTTCGGAATATTATTTATTGTCGATTGACTGTTGGCGCTGTTCAATATTAAATTAAATTAATTTTCAAGAACATGTATAAGTACTAGGATTACTGCATTTACTCGTTTATTAGAAAACTCTAAGTTGAGGATGATCAACTTGAACAATAACTTACAGATACTCCAATCGATCATTACTTATTCGATCAAAAGTAAGCACATACATACTCATATTTTCGAGTATATTACAATATTCCTTTAACAGGTAAATTAACAATAAATAATGGATAATTTAACACGTTAATTGGAGGTGAAAACGTCCAGTGATTTAGTTGACCAACGAAACAGGATTCAGTGGATTTCTCCTCACATTGTAACGACACAGCTGCGTCCCTCTGTGCATTTCTCTCTCCCCCCCTCCCCATCGTGTGTGTATGTCGATAAAAGTGTCCAATGGCTAGCAGAATTCCTGGCCAATAAAAATACCGGTCCACACTCGATTTTCCCCTTTTTTCTTCCGTCTGTATTTTTTCTCACGACGGACAAAGGCGAGGCTTATGTAACTTTCATTTGTGCCAACGTCGATATATCCAGAGAAGCCCGGCCCCGCAGGATTTTCCATATTCAGGCTGCCTCATTCCCTTCGAGGGAAAAACGGCGTACGTGATCCACGAAACGTCCAACGTTTCAGCGCTTGTAATCGCTTATTCTTTTTCTCCACTTAACGCGAAACGATTCCCACCGAACGATTCTCTCTCGCGTATACTCCGCGACGATGCAGTCTTAATCACCGGTGACCTTCGGGAATACGATTACCGAAGAAGGCCTGACGAGAAATTGGCGAGGACTCGGCATCGTCCCCGATATATACCCATCAGGCAAATTGAACATCTTACCCGGAGAAGATTTTTACCTCTTCCCGGCGTCTATCCTCTGATTTTCTTCCTCCACTTTTTCCCTTGAGCTTCTTCCACTCTTATTTTATTTTTGCAGCTGCAGCTACTGCCAATCATATTCATTACATAATGCGATCCGAGCTGATTGGAGTACGTCTTCTCGTCAGTTTTTCTCTCTTTCGACGTTCCTTCACGTGGGTGAAATTTTGAATTTCGTTTCGGTATCACTTTTCGAGAGAATGTTGAAGCATTCAGCGAGTCGGCGTGCTGTGTGTTTTAATAAAAACGTATGACTTTGTTATTTCACGAAGACAGAATTATATACACATGCTCGAGATAGTATAGATAAGCGACAACAGTGTTGCGTGGTTGAAAATAATTAATAAGGTGCTTGTTCAGATTTTAGCGTGCCGAACGATCGTGGGCGTGTCTTCGTATCGATCGAAAATAGAACAGAATGGTGGATTCTTTTGTTAGAAAGGTTGGAAAATCCTCGGCTAAAGTTATACGTCGAGAAACAGACGCGTGAAAATATTTTCCAGTGAAAACCGGCGTTCAACATTTCGCGCGAGTGTAATTTTT